AGATTGCCGCCCAGCCTCCGACTGCCATCCCACTCCGCGGATCCTGGGTGCCAGTTTACCGCGGAGGTCCGGCCCCTCCCCCCGGAAGACACGGACCACGTCCGAGTCAACCGCGGGGAGGACACGTCTTCCGGCCCACCCTTCGGCTAGGACTACGTCCCAATACCTCCGGGGTCCGGCTCTCCCCCGCCAGCAAAGCCCGTCCACGACGAGCCCGCCGACGGAGGAGCTCCCCTTGCCACCGCCCCCTGCCGGAACACCGGCGTGCAATGGGTGACGGTGGCCTCCCCCCGAATCCCAGATGCCTGCCGGAGCACCGGCGTGCAATGGCATCTGCGATTCCCTCCCTCTCGGTGCTGGTGGGAGGAGCAAGCTCCCCCCTATCGGCCCCAGCAGCCGGAGGTTTGAAGTCGGGGTACCTCATCCCCTACCAGCGATCGGCGGGCTCGTCCACCACACGTGTGGTGAACGAGTCCCCCTTAACGGGGTCGCTGGACCCCGTCCGCCCTTAAAAGGGCAGAGACGGTACTCCGGCAGCGAGCACCCCAGGCCGGGAGGCCGCCGATGCTAAAGCGCGCCGACAGCCGCCCACCCGGAGCGCACGCCCCCGGAGCCCCGCCCGGGCTGCCGGACCCTAACCCGGAAAACGTCCAAGCGGCCCCGACAGCCCCCCGCCTACGGCCCTGGACCCCGACCTGGGAAACGTCCCAGCGGCTCCAAGGGCCCCGGGCCGCCGGGCCCTGCCTCGGAATACGTCCGAGCGGCCCCGTCAGCCCGTCTACCCGGGTGGGGCGGCCCCCCGACTCCCCCAACACGGGGAAGGTCGCAGAGCCGTCCCCCCAGTCCCGGCCGAGTCCACCGGGGGAGATCCCCACGGCACCCGGACAACGGGACTCCCTCCGACCCCGGTGCCCGTAAGAGCCGTAGCCCGCGGACACCGGTGACCATCCTTCCTCCACAGCCCTGGACCCCGCCTGGGAAGCGTCCCAGCGGCTCCACGAGCCCCAGGCTGCCGAGCCCTGCCTCGGAATAAGTCCGAGCGGCCCCGACAGCCCGTCTCCTCGGGCGGGGCGGATTCCCGATCCCCCCAACATGGGGGGATCGAGAGATCCGCCCCCCCGTCCCCAGCGAGCTCCCCGGGGAAGACACCCGTGGAACCCGGTGAAGGGGACACCCCTACCGGCGAGTGGCCTCGGTTCTGCCCCGACATGACCGTCGGGGCAGCCGATACCGGAGTCGCCGGGCTCCATACCTCCCCCCATAAACTGGAGGGAGGGTGGTACGCTCTTGGTCAGCGGACGCCCGGCCAAAGGAACCGCCGGAGCCTAAAGCGGCACACAGACGGTTCCAGGCCGAACGCCCGCCTAAGCTCCCCCACCACGACAAGGTGGCGCACCAACGGGGGAGTGATTTCCTACATCTAGTTTATGACTTCGCAACTCAAAATAACATCGAGAACCCATTCAAAAATGGTAAGGCAGGCGAAGATTGGTTTGCTGGTTTTAAGCGGAGACACCCTGATATTGTGCTACGATCACCTGAGCCCACTTCTATTGCTAGAGCAAGAGGCTTTAATAGACCACAGGTGGAGCTGTTTTATTCACTTTTGTGGGAGCAGATTCAGAAGTTTAATTTTGATGCGACAACTATTTACAATATAGATGAGACAGGCGTGAGAAACTCGACTTCAAAGCCACCAAAGATTTTAAGTACAAAAGGAAAGAAGCAAGTTGGAGTTATTAGTAGTGTTGAAAGAGGTCAACTCACAACTGTCATATGCTGTTGTAATGCTGCTGGCACATATGTTCCGCCATTTTTTATTTTTGCGCGAAAGCGGATGCAAGAACGGCTTTTAGATGATGCCCCTCCAGGTTCCCAAGCTACGGTGAGCGATAATGGTTGGATAAATGGAGAAGTTTTCTTGGTATGGCTTCAATATTTTGTTGAAGTAGTTCGTCCAAATGAAAACCGAAAAGTTTTATTACTGCTTGACAATCACGAATCTCACAAATATTATCCAGCCTTGGAATTTGCATCGAAAAATCACATTATTTTCGTCTCATTTGCTCCACATACAACTAACAAAATGCAGCCGCTAGATGTTGCTGTTTATGGACCTATAAAAAAGTACTTTGAGCAAGAGGTAAACGTTTTTCAGAAAAACCACCCAGGGTGGATTATCAATCAGTATGACATTGCTAAACTTTTTGGAAGAGCCTACAGCAAAGGTGC